TCGAACAGCCAAAATGCGAAAAGACGCATCTTTTAATTGTGAAATCCCGTTTTTTGAGAAAATGCATTTATCTTACCATTAATGTTTAATATTTACAAGAAGCATTGTGATCAAGCGACTGGTGTGGACTACAATATTAATAATTCCGTTCGATTTACTTGGGAAAAATAGTGATTGGCTGAAATATTCGATGAACCCTATAATGCGAAGTCAAATGATCAAAAAGTTGCATCTATTCGATTATTTGAATAGTCGGATGATAAGAAGCCCAGTTATGCAAATGTTTAAACTGTAGAGCACTCACGAGCCCCACCAACTGGTTTTTCAAGTTCAAATATATCACAATGATGATTTGAATATCAATCATTTGTGAGTATTTTCAACATGACTAAATCATCCATAATCATTTTCATCAAATATTTCAAATACAGCGCAAATATGATGAAGAAGCACAGTAAAAAGGAGCCTATGATATTTCAGGATGTCTATACATTGAATTTCTTGAGAGAAGACTTCTCGAATGTTTGGCAAATTATTGTTCACTACTTCCTAGCATTATTCCCTGTGTTTGTGATTACGACAAACTACCCTATTATTGGCTGTACGCTTATAAACAATGTACGAGTACTACGTGATCTGATATTATCCAGAACTAATGCGAAGTTCGTAGACTTACTTTATCGCTGCTTGCAACCAAATGGCGACACATTGATTTGCCTATTTAGAGTGTTCACAGAAGAGCAAACAGAATCAAATAAACGTAAGCGAAGCAAATCGTTCCTCCTGGTAAGTAATGCACTAAAATGCTTTACACATAAGAAAGTCATTCCTTCTTTCGCTTGATTTCTACGTTTTTAGATTTCCGACATTATTATATATGTTATGGTGATAGGATTCGCAACAGTTATCAGCATATTAACCGATGATGTGCTTTTGCTAACAACCATAATAGGGTCTTATCCAGGTAAGAACGCTAAGACATGTTGCCGAATCGCTGATTCTTATAGTATCGTAACAAGAGGATCAAACAGTAAAGGCACAACATTAACGAAGTTATATATTATAACAGTCTAAGGCAGTTTCAAAGGGACTACTACTATCAGGATATGAGTAAAATAGTTTGTTTAAACGCTACTTCATAGCTTCAAAGTGTGTAGGTTTATGGATATATTTTTGAAAACCCAGGAAGTACTTGCAAATACTGTATCGACTAATGCTCATTCTATTTCAAAAGTTATTAGTTCAGAACTAATCCGAGTATCAGTAGTGCCGAGAAATAGGATTTATCGGCAGAACATTAGGTGGAAGAAACGTTCCACTAAACCTGTGAGTTGGCACAATACTAACAAAATTCGGAAAAATAAAAAATCGAGACCCATTAGCTACGTATAATGAAACTTCCGTAACAGATTTTTAAATTTCAGGCGTCGGCGTGCAATTCCTGGTACCGTGTCTGCTTATTGTTTATTCTCGCAAATATGTAAAAAGACTTAACCTTGATGTACCGTACAAATACTCAAGTCCTTTTGGTTCCATATATTGGGTCATAGCAATCTTTGTTTGGGCATTATTCGCTATTGTTATGGTTACCCTGAAGTTGATTGGTGTAAAGTTCTAGATTTTATGTCTTGATTAGTGTTATATATTAGGAAAGGTCATTAGCTCTAGTGTAAAGAGCATTTTTGAAAAAAGAGGTAAAGTAAGTAGAAAAATCTTTAAAAACTTTTCAAAGAATTTTTGATTGGAGAAAAGCAAGCCTCCACACCACCAAGTTGGAAAGCAAAGGACAGCATCTCCAAAGTGGCGCCACACAAAGTTTCTGGCCTTAGATGTATTTTCTCGTATTATAGCATCCATGTAAGGAAGTTCTCTTGTAACGTCTGTTCACATAATAAAGATCGAATGCGATAACTGTATGCGAGTAATTCTCAACAAAATCAACCAGTCATTTAGTTCGGTTATTGTAGCATTCCAATAAATATATAATGGATTATTCAACAAACGTCTATTTACTCTCTGAAAATAATTCCTATAATAAAGCAGATTAAACATCAAGTAGGTAAGGCCGCTAATTCATCTTCATTAATGTCGTAATCTCTCACTTTTTGATGGAAATTATACCATTTGCCAAAAAATCCTACGTCAAGAATGTTGTTGTAGAACTCGTTCCACATCCACTCTTTAAGGTTCGAATCCTGCGTTTCGTATATGCTAACCTAAATAAAGAGCAGTATTGGTGAGTAAGCCATTGATCAATCTCAAGAAAATCTTTGGACGGTGACTCATTCACTAAGCGTGCAATGAGACCAATGCGCCCACACACTTAAAAGATGAGTGTAACACTATAATTGCCTAGAAAAAATGGTTTGTTGTTTTTCTTAGATAACCATCCTTCCAGATTCCACGTGTCCCGTGTCTAAAACTTTACGTGAATCATCAAAAAGTATAAGGTCCACAAATCTCAGCTTATTTCTCTCATAAGATAATTTCATAAAATTGCTTATGCTATAATGACGAATTTCATGACATTTTAGACAAACATCACCACCTAACATTTGCAACTAAAAAAGAATGGTAATTAAAAAGAGGAAAAAAAAAACGAAAAGCTTTCTA